GACATATTAATACATAAGCGATTTTCGGCAACAGAAGATGGAAGGGGAGGGAATGGTTGAAGGTCATTCCTCTGAGTTGTCCCTATTGGTATCTTAAAGCTGTAATGTTTGAGTAGTAAAGCATGAATTAGTAGAGGAAGAGGTGGTGGCACTTCTGTCACACTGTACAGAGATAGTGGTCATTGAACTTTAGCGCAATCCGCCCGTGATCTTTATTCCATAATAAACATCCGCCCTTCACTTTACTCTGTCTTTTAATGTCATATTTTTTCAAGAGAAAGGAATTGCAAGATTTTTTTGTTTATTGAAATTTTGAAAGTAGAGATAATGAAATAATCGTCACCTGAACTAATCATTCAAGCTTTGTGGAAAACAATGCAAAAGTAAGTTATGTAAGTTGTCATTAAAAAACCAATGTTTAATGTGTATGTAGTCGAGCCATATTGGGTGTTATTCCAAAAATATTTTTTTTTATTTCAAAATTGAGACTGTTTTAAAACGTCTTTTCATTCTTCTGAGCAAAACCTTGTTATTTCACTGAAATTCCATAAAAAGTATTGATTATTCAGATATTGTTATTACTTCAATCTTCAAATAATTCTCTTTTACTTCCATATCAATAAGTTATACTTTCATCCTTGCCAAAATAATTTGATGACCAAAGAAAAAAACGATGAAGAAAAATGAAGAAGTTTTAAAATATCATGCTGTTAATCACTGAACCATTTATATGAAGGATTACTTCATTTTTAAAAAATAAAAAAAAAATTAATTCATTAGCCGTTTTTGATTAAGTTTATTTTTACTCAAATGCTGTTTTTGCTACCGGTCAAATTGATTGTTAGAAAATTCAAAACTTATTCCAATTTAACTCGATGTGATTTAATTTGATTTTGGTTCATTCCGTCACTTTTGCTGCTCTTTTCGAATGAAAGACGTCGTCACTTTACAAACATATCAATTACAATAAAATATTATCATTTCAGACACAATTTAAAAAACTAAGTGATGACGTTATTCTGATGTGAATAGAAGAAATCGTCAATATGTTAGTGTAGCAGAAATAATTTGTTATGTGCAAACTTTTTTAGCAGAGATTTCAACATTTTCCAACCAGGAAATTCGTCCTGTTTTCATGATTTTTGATGTCTGCACTACGTCCACAACTCACTAAAATTTTTGGGATTGACTATACTTAGAAGATGTCAAAAGTTTGTAAGAGAAACTAAAAGTACCAGATTTCTTTTCGGTTTTAGTAAAATTTTCGTAGATATACGCTTATTAATACTTCGTAACATCACTGTAGGTCTGATATTGAATTACTTTAATCCAGCAATGTTCACTACTTTTCAATGAATTCATCAAAAATACCTGTGCTGTAGCGAATCTATCTTCAGGAAGGGAGGAATTTCATTTTTTTTTTTTCGTGTCGCTGATAGGTCTCAATGAATCTAAGAAACTGTGACACCAAAAGTGCAACAAGTTGTTTTTTCTATTTTGCTTTAAAGAATGGAAATGTAGAATGGCATTTTAACACAGACTGGTAAATAATTCGTCTAAAATCAAAGTCTTACTTTTATGTACTACTGTTATTTGTCAGGGTTTATTTTAACTTCAGTTTAGGAGGTTTATTTTAAGTTTAATTCGGAGAACAAGAACTGGTTCACGCTTTGAATTTTTAGTGTGTGTACGTATACATATTTGTGTACAATACTGATATGTGGTGACACAATAAATGACTGCTTCGATTTTCGGTATGCTAAAATACTGAACCATGTTAAGCATTTTTTTAAATATTTTCCGGAAGCCCAATTTTGTTTTTTTGTTATAATCAAAAAGAATACCACCTCTTATCTCATTACTTAATACCATTTCCTTATACCACACAAACAAATTAATTCACATCCTGTCTCACTACTCGTATTCTGTATTCTGCACAGTGCGTACTAATTTTTCTTTGCTGTGATACTTATAAGTTTGTTTCCATGACCGACTGTTAGTCCACTCAACTTCGATTTCTTTTCGGCAGTTGTTTGGCGGTTCTTTCTTTGTTTCCCTATGTGTATAAAAAAGGAAAATTTTCAGCACCAGAATCTATTTTGTTTCCCAAAGCTTAAAATTAATCTTCGTAAGTAGTATCAGGTATGTCAACACTTGATGAAATATGACAAAGTCCAAATGAAGTCATATTTGAATAAGTTTCACATATACTTTATAAATCCACAAGTCTTAAAAATATGCAGCTAATCCGGGTACTGTATACCGTGAGCCGAAATACTGTGAATAAATTCCGCAATATTTCCTTCTTATCGTTGTCATCAAATTAAGAAATATATTCTTTCCCCGTGAAATTAGAAATAAAGCAAACCTCTCCATTTGATCCATTTTTTTAAGGAATGCAATAGCCAAATTCATTTCAGTATAGTCTGATAGCTATATTCAATAACTATATTCATCTTTCTTATCAGTGTACCTGTCTACAAACAGACCAAGTTCAGTAACTGCTTCTGCACATTTCACATCAAAATGAAAAGGACACCAGATTGCTCTCCTTCCTGATCCCACACCAATACTTTCCATAAAATGTATCCTTCTCTTTCTTTCTTATATTCTCTCAGCCATTTTACATTCTTCCAATGAGACAATACATGCATACACATCTACCAGTTTACAAAGCCTTCCCACTGATAATGACAACACTGCTATAAACTATAGACAATACATTCGTTTCTTGCAAAGGCTTTTACTTTTTTTATGGATGTATGCTGTAAAAACTATGAGATAAACGCAAAATTTAAAAAAAAAAAAAAAATTTAAACACATCATAAAGCGCTTGTATCTACAGTTGCAATCACATGTAACAGTACTTAATATAAACAGTGGAAAGGTGCAGAAGAATCACTTCAATTAATCGAACAGCACAGTGATATTGCTTATGATATTCACAGAAACATCGTTGCAAAGCTTTTTTCCTTTTCATATTTGAAAATGAAAAAAGTAAACGACAGGTACTACATCTCATAGTTCAGTTCATATGTGACTGAATTTCATTCCATTTCGTTCAAGCTATCCAGCTGTTTGCTCAATTCCTATGCAATGCTTATAATTAAACAATATTTTTTAGCAACTTACAAGACACTCTCATTTGCATTTAAATTACATCTAACACCTAACTAAATTGGAGGGTTGTGTTGAGCCACTTCTACATCTACTTCATAATTTAGGTTCATATATTGCTTTTGTGTTTCTTTAACGACTTCACGCTGGCAGTATCTGCCAGGGAAGATTTATTAACAGTGTCTCTAGTGACTTATTCTTTCTGCTAATCCTGAAGCCTAGAAGGGCCTCACGTACCTTCAGAATAGTTCCACACGTACACGTGATCATCAGTACCCTCATCCCCAACACCACTGCGTACGACGAGTAATGAACGACACAGAACATAACTCGGCTTGTTGAGAGGGTGGAATGAAAATTGTAGTTCAGTTGGCATAATTGGGAGGGGTGTTGGTGGTAGTTTTGCTCATTTTAAGGAATATCATTAAAAAAAAAACCAGAAATAAGATTTGTGAGATATCACAACTATTTCTGCACCTTAAATACATGATCCTCATTCTTTTGAGGAGCATATATTTAAGAAAATGTTGCAGTTCTGAAATATAAACCAATTATCTTCTGTCATCCAAAAATAGTTGATGTGAGTTAACAATAAAGAACCGAAAAATTAATTGAATTATAACTGTTAAAATAGGCAGATTCTAGACATTTAAGTTGCTTCCCATTCATTTGATTAAATAAGTACCATCTGGAGTACGACAAAGAATTCGAAATCATTCTCAACACTAAATGACGAACGACGTTACTCACTTATTGCATGGTCTGAAATGATAATTTCTGGTTTGTATCTTGCATCATCTGCTAATGAGTAGTGCGTGGCACGACGTGTACCGTGGCATAGGCGGGGAATGCTTTTAAGGAGTGGAAAGAAGTTCGTTTTACAAGTGATGGGAGTGATTGATTAAGGGTGTACGTATAAATAGAGAGGATTAATGTGAGTGCCCTGGTGACACGTATGAAAGGAGGAAACGCAGAAGACACACAGGTGGTTGAAGGTGGGACATTTTGCATACCATGCACTATCTTTTAATGATTTACTTTTAATGATGCACTCATTAACAATTCATTCTCGTCAGCAAATTATCTTATTACTAGAGAGGCTGTGTGTTCTGTGCATAAATAAACTACAGAAGATGTGCATATTTTATTGCAGTAAGATCTGAGAGTGAAGGTCGAAACGTTAATCTTTTTTCATCGTTCACTTATTATTTTTTATCAAAGACAGATTTAAGAGATCCATAATGAACAGAAGTTGGTGGTAACATTAATAATTATTGATTATGTCTTTTCTAGTATATCTTTTCCGACTTATGATTAATTTTGACTTTCGTGACCTCTACATAGCGCACACTTTTACAGATAAAAAATAATTGCTTGAACAGTAGTTCAAGTAAGTTGCAGAATATCAGTATTTTGGTTTGGTTAAATTTCTTTATGGCATTCTACAAGTCATACCTATTTGATTGGCGGATATTGAACAGAGCGAATTGGAAAGTATGATGCATGCTTTATTAACTAATGTTGGTTTTAAAATCCACATATCGTGCTCAGATCTTTCCATTGAAAGTACAAGATTTGAATTAAAGGCTACAAGGCTGTCCTGATCTTGATCCTTTTTCCAATTTTTCATTTGTGACATTCAGAATAACTTTCGTTTCAAGTCTCTCCTATCTTTAAATGTTTTTTTTTTTTTTTTCACCTTTTTCTAGAGTGGATTCATGAAGCTGTTGTTATATTAAGTTAGTAATGCTAGCAATATAGCTGTAATAATAAGAACAAATACAGTGTTATCATTTTGATGTTTCTGTACTCTTACGCGTTTCTGTGCCGTTCTTGAAAATATTCTGGCATATTTTTTTTTTCCTTTTTTCAGAACATATGTAATGAGCAACCAGTCTATACAGCAGTCCCAAGCCTCTTCAGCAAGAGAACCCGACCCAGATGCTATCAAAATGTTTGTCGGTCAGGTATGCTGTTAGCGGTCATCTGCGAAAGAATTTATAAAATACAAGTTTTTAGTATCAATTGAAGTTTTTTTTTTTTTTTTTCATTTGATTAGTTTTGTTTAGATACCACGCTCATGGGGGGAAACAGAATGCAGAGAGTTGTTTGAACAGTTCGGTTCTGTATGTCAGCTAAATGTTCTTCGTGATAAAGTAACACAAACAAGTAGAGGTAAACTGTATTTTTTCATTTAAGATTAGAATAATTCATCCTTTTTCATTTTTAATTACACATTTTAACTACACATTCAGGTTGCTGTTTTGTAACTTATTATAAGCGAGCTGATGCAATAGCAGCGCAAGCAGCACTTCACAACATCCGTGTCTTACCGCAAATGTATCATCCTGTTCAAATGAAGCCTGCCGACATTGAAAACAGAAATGGTAGTACATCCTTTTTTTGTGTTCTCTATTTATTTTTCTCTTCTTTTTTTACGTCTTTGTCCCTTTCATTATAAGTTTCATTCAATTTATTAATATTCCAAATAACTGTTATCGAAAGAGCATTGCATCGGCGGGGTTTAGAGGAGAAATAATTTGCAGTAGTTTTGAAGCTTTATTTCACACTTTTTGTATTTCGATGCTTCTCTCGTTTATGCAGTGGCAAATGAAGTGTGCAGCAAATGAATCAAAAAAGTGTGGAAGCAACTATGTTTCTTTTGTTCTCTGAAGCTTATAAAAAAAATAGAGCGTTGTATTGTAGAAAGAAAATTGTTTATTGGTATGTTAAATAAGAAGCTCACTGAAGACGATGTCCGTGAAATGTTTGCTCAATTCGGACACATTGAGGACTGCACTGTTTTGAAGGATTCAGAAGGAAAAAGTCGAGGTAACCCATTTTTGATTTCATAGCACTGGCATCTGATCAGAGCTAGAAAAAATAAGTTAGACATTTCAAATTCTCAAAGATTTAAAAGATAATGCGTAATGAAATTTACAACGAAAATTTTTCAATTGAAACTTATTTTAGTGGGATAATGTAGTTATTAGAATTTATCATTAAATCTTTCATACAGATGGAAATTATATATTTGATGAAGTCTGAGATAAGTGGTGGAACAGCGGCTCCTAATTGAGTTTGAAATAGTTTCGGATAGTCAGTGCATTCAAATGTGACTTGTTAGTAAAAGAGGTTTAATTCATAAAATTTGGTAATATGTCAGATCTTTTCATACTCAGGCGTAAAAATTATTGTGCACTGCTACTGGCTATTAGTTTTAACCTAGGTGAAGGTAAAACTTAAAGCAGTTATTCGATATCAGATTTTTGGACATAAATTTAGAAATGTATCTGAAAATCTCCAGACAAGACTTTATTGCAAATTCTAGCCACCAGTATCAAGAATTAGAGGATGTTTTAAACAGAACGTTGCTATCCTCTTTTAGGATGCTCACAAAGCTGCCTTTTGGGCAATGCAGCCTTGTCTGGCGGTATGCTCATACCACCGTAACAAAATGGCTTGCTTTATGCAGCGTGATAGTCTTCTTGATTCTACTGATAAATGTCATGTTGACAGTTGCAATTATAAGTTTATTATAAGTTTACCAACTGCATGAATGTCAGAAGTTTTCGTTGTCAAATTAGGTGATTATATTGTTCACAGTGCCTCGATGTAATTATGTGTCCAGTGTCTGTAAACCAGTTTTTGTATATTGATCTAAGAACGTTTGGCAGTCTTTTGTTTGTGACTGATTCCAGTTTACGTGAAAGTCATTGAGGTAGTAATAAATTCAGTGTTTTCGGTTTTGAGATTTTATTTTGCTTACCGGATTTTTCGAATAACCTGGAGTTCAAATTTTGATTGTTTTAAGCTTTTGATATAGATTTATAGTTTCATCCGATTTATTATGATTACAAACAAAAAATATTAAGACCGGTTTCGTTCTTTTTTATTCTTTTTTCTCTGTTCCTTTTTTCATGTTGTCCTTGTCACAGAAACTGTTTGTTGAGCGTAACTTTTTGTTCCAGGCTGTGCCTTTGTGACGTTTGCCCACCGTTCCTGTGCGCAGCAAGCAATCAAACAAGTGCATCTATCTCAAACTATGGAGGTACTCTGTCACTCACCTGTATACTTTTTTTTTTGAAGCACACCTCGATAAGCATCGTATGTTACTCAGCTGACTGTGTACTATCTTATTTACAACGGTCTATGTTTTTACTGATCGACACTTACTTCATAAAGCTCTTTTTCCATTTTAGTGGTATATATGACTTAGATTTTAGCTTTATGCTTAACTCGTACCATATGCTTACTTTAGAAATATTACAATTTAAATTAAATGTTCATTGCACTGAAGGCGTAATTGTGGTAGCATGACACACAGTGTTATAACTTTTCATCATGTTGGTGAATGTCCTGATGGGTCAGTTCTGTTAACGTTTAACAAATCCTTTCATTCTTTGTTTTAGGTTATCTATGTCATTTTCTGTAAAGATTGTAATTTTTCTGTGTACTTTATATCTTTTTTATGAAGGAGCCAAGTAGCATGCTATTTTTGTGAAGTCTTCTGATTGTTAATTGTTATTACTCAAGGGAGCATATAACCTATCTTTTGCTATAAAAAAGAATTTCTTTCAGTAGAAAATTTTTAAACTGATCTTTTTAAACACTGCAACTTAATCTTTTCCCGTTGATGAATTGTCTGAAATAATAAATTTTTAGGGTTGTTCAAAACCGATTGTCGTGAAATTTGCTGATACTCAGAAGGAAAAAGATGCAAAAAAAAGTGGTGGAACGCCAGCGACAACCACTTCATTGCAGGACACAGTCAGTTTAGCTAGCACGTTGCAACAGGTAAAATTTTTTGTGGAACTCTTTTTTTAAGAGAAATTGACTTAATTGTAGTTTATTCAAATGTGTTAATTGTGTAAGCATTAAAATACATATCTGTGTAGGTTTACGTTGCCTTGATCAGTTCCTTCTTTTGCTGATACAAACTGTAACTTTATAGCTTATAGCTTAGGAAAAATTCAGCAGTCAAGAACAACTTTGTTGTACATTGGTAATGTTTTATGAAGACTTGCATGTTTACTGCCTAGAAATAATGTGCCTGCTTCAGTAAGTGGATAATTCAAACTATCTGTCTTTATTTGAGAAATACATGAGCGTTCTTTGTTGTTGCAAAGTAGCTACAGAACAAATCACTGTAGGCCATTATTTCGAAACCATTTTGAAAGGAATTTATCTTTCCAAATTTCTAATGAAATTATTCCACCTGTTGTTAGTCTAGATAATAACGCACGTTATTCGTTATATCTTCATGAGTATGTTTATTGCAGTTATTACAAACAGCACAACCTAACAGCAGTACCAGTCCTGCTCTGGGAACTCAGTTAGCTGCACTCGCAGCTCTCCTCCAAACAGCATCACAACCCAATGTTCTAAGTTTGCTTGGAAATGGTATTTTTTTTTTTTTTTTTTATTTAATTTATGCCCTTTTAAATTTGTCAACTATTGATTTACCAGACAAAATATTATTAGCCCAAAAATCTCTGTTGATTGGAAACATGCAGAAAGTCAGTAATACGGAATTAAATTTCAAACGGTTTAGAATTATGGGAATTATCATTAGAGATCTGGATGCCTGTACGAAAACAAGTAAACAGTGATTGTATTGTAGTATTATCTGGTTTGGGTCGTTTAACCGAGAATACAGCAACATCGAATCAAACATCTGTAAAATCATCACCCTTTCCTCTTGCCAGTCAGCAAACCCTGGCATCACTCTCCTCTTCACCGGGCCTCTCAAATGCAGATTCATCAGGTACATAATCGTAAAAACAGTGCATGGGCTCCCTCCTGCTTATTTCCATTTTCTTTATAGTATAACATTTTGTTTCAAGCAGTATTTTCGACACCTTTCATTTCTTATAACTATTTTGCACTGCTAGGGAGTAAATCGACTTGAGTGCATGCAGTGTTTGTCGTAATATGGGTATTTTTCAAGTCTCGAAGTTTGTTACTTTCATTTACTTATGGAAATGCATTATTTACATGTAATAAGATCAAATTCTCCACTTCTTTACACTGCTGTCATTAATTTTGAAATCTTACTGGCTTGCGCTTCCTTGGTATTCTGACAACAGAAGATTTGGTGTGAGCCAACTAATAGATTTTTGGTTCTTTCTGAAATTACCTGATTCGGAATTTCTTTGAATCGTATCTATGAAACCTGATCTTAAGTTTTGTCGCTCGGTAGCTGTGGTAATTTTGGATAAATGCTTCAAGTAAATCAAGAAATTTCATACTGTTGATAACCTACGCAGTGATTTTACTGAAAAAATTATTCGACGACTGTGATATCAAACTCCTTTAGCATTTCTTTGTTACGAAGTGCAAAAAAATTAAAGTTTGTTGTGATTCTAACTTCAATACTCTCTTGTGATTGTGGGATTGCTCTTTGTTCTTTTTTGCTTGTTATTCGTGAACATGTTTCAATGTCCATTTGTTATCAAATATTCTTCCTATATGCTTTCTGATTGCACTTGGAAATTTACATGAAGGCGACAAAGAAGATTATGGAAGTAATACAGCAACTTATGTTTCTAGAGCCGTAGATTCAAAAGCTAATTACTTACTAATACTACTATTTCAGCTGCACTTCAGCAACAACAGCATCAACAATTAGCTGCGCTTCAGCAGCAGCAAAGATTATTAGAACTTCTTACCCATCAGCAACTTGCTAACACGCCAATTTCTACTCCTAGTGGTAAGTGCAGTATTGTGAAGATAAGTTATTTCGAAGCTTTTGATAGTGATTTCTCATATTGCTAGTTCTAAACTAATTGCTTCTTTATCAAGCACATATTTGATTTTGTACTTTTTTCAGGTTCGTTTGCTAGTGACAATAAAATAAATGGTGCAACTGGAGGAAATAATCTTATTCAGTTGACGGGACAAAATGCATCGAGCAGCATCGATGCTCTGCAACAAGCATACGCTGGACTGCAGCAGTTTGCTGGTGAGCACTTTTGATTTTATCGACTTTTTCTGCACCATTATTTCCGAAAATAAGTTGTTAGGAGTTATATAAGGCATAATCGCTTTTTTTAATTTATTCACAGTAGCTGATCTTTATCACTGTGTAATTTCTGTTTAACAGGCATATAGTGCGAGTTTTCACCTCATTTCATATTTGCTGTTCCTTTTTCAGGTTTGTATCCACAGTTAGCAACTAATAATTTGCTTGCTGCTAGTAGTACACCTAATACAGGAATGAATACCACAAGCGGTGGACAATCAAAGGGACCAGATGGGTGCAATCTGTTCATTTATCATCTCCCACAGGACTTCACTGATAACGATTTATACACCACATTTTCACCTTTTGGATCAATTATTTCGGCAAAAGTTTTCATTGATAAGCAAACTAATTTGAGCAAATGTTTCGGTAAGCCTCCAGCTTTATTATTTTAGTATTCGATGATAGAGGACTACCAATTCGTTATCAAATGAGTAAAATTAATACCTGATTCTGTCCAGGTTCTTAGATTCAGTGTTTTCAGGTTTTGTAAGCTACGATAATGTCGTTTCGGCTCAGAATGCTATCTCTGCACTTAATGGATTCCAGATAGGTTCAAAACGGCTGAAAGTACAGCTAAAGCGTGGGAAGGATAGTAAACCATATCCGAGTATGCCTGTCACTAGTAACAGTGGTAATACGAAGCCGCTATCGGCTTAATTGTTGGATTTTTCGAAAAATCCATATATTATTTTATTTTTAACTATAGAAATTATATTCCACTTCCGCATAAATTATGGAAACGTTGCGATTTTATTTTCTTTTTAAATTTTTTAAGCATAAACATTTTAGCGATAATTGAGTTTTGTTTGTTTTATGGTTATAAATTTAAAAGAAATATCTTCATATGCAATTCAGAATTGTGCATATGAAAAGCTAGTGAAAAAAGGCAGTTAAAGTGAGTCTATGTTGACCTCTAATCTTCATTTGATGCATGTGCATATTTTTTACATTATTCTGGTCGCCTATTCTTTCAGCGTACTAATTATGTGGATGGCATCTTTACAAACTAAAAGCCTGTCACTGTTCTCACTCTGCTTAATTGCTCTCATCAGTGCTACTTATTGCTAACAAATATGTTAAATGCATTTCCTGATTTTCAAATCTAATGTTATCGCAAATCTTGCCTCATTTATGAAAATATCTTGCCTGTTGTCTTCTATTCTCATTTTTAAAGCTGTCTTGCCAAGACTTTCATGCGTAGTGTTGCTTTGAGCTCCTGTTTTTGTTGGATGTGATTATGGATTATTGAAAATTTACAAATTGATATTGTCAATAAAAAGGAATTGAAGACCTGGAATTCAAAAGCTCCATATATCTTTTTGTTTTTGGTTAAACCAATCTTTCTTTTAGTTAAAAAGTGATCCAAAATTGGCTGCAAATTTTTGTCGTAATTCACTCTTTTTTGTCGTAATTCAGCCTAAGTGATATTTAACTGATAATATGTGATTATGTTTATCTCTCAATATTTTATGTCTAAAATTACTTTTTGGTTTTTAATTAGGCTAAGTCTGTATTTTTTGATTGCATCTATTTTTATTATTTTGTTCTTTTTGAGCAGTTGATTGTTCTAACTCTAATACAAGTGATATTTAACTGATTATATTTCATGTATGTATGCCGTGTATCTTTTAGCGTTTAGTGGAGACCTTAACACTTCACGTGTAGTCGACATTTGACATATGATGTAAAGAGAAATGATTCTAATTTTAATTTCATTTTATTACATGACTTGGTTTATGGGATTAAACTGGGTATTACAGGAAGCGTGAGGGAGTTTCTTAATAACACAAGTCCTTTTCTATGAGAGGTTAAATTTGCCGAGATCTGAAATTGAATGAGGAACCAAACTAACGAAATGATGTGTTGCTCCAAATCATATATGATCTTGAAGTAAATATATATAAGCTAATAAGAAATTATATATATATATTTCTTACAACAATTCAGAAGAAGAATTGTGGAAATATTAAAATATTTGGTGGGGAATTGTATGTATCATTCTACTATTTTCTACTTGGAGTTTCGGAAAACAATATCTTCACAAGAATTTCCTCTGGTTACTTAACCCTTCATCAGCAGTCATCAATCGACTACGGCACTGTAACAGTAGTGGCCATACTTTCATATGTCGTGCTTTCCGTGATTAATTCGGAATCCGGTTGTATTTCCCGACTATGGTTAATGCCATAGAAGCCATAGATTGCAAGCCCTAAAGGTGAAATTGAAATTTATAACTTCGCCAAAATAAAGAAGTCATTGCAACTCTGTACATTTACATTTGGCACATTTTCATTAATGCTTGTAATGCTAACATGCAACAGCATAAAAAAAATCACCATATTCGAGTCGAACATGGCATTATACAGAAATATTAACATCTGGAACTCACCGACAACTAGCCAAATGGCAAGCCGGATCCAAGTCACGGGAGCCAGATGGAACATTAAAAAAATGTTGATTAGTACGCTAGTTGCTGGTATGAGAGGGACCAATGGTACCTAAAGCATATGTAATATTAGGTGGGGATTTGGAAGCTGAAACTGGATAAAACGAGTAGGGCCAGTCTGCACTAATTTCAGCATCGTTTAGTGATTTGATAATCACTGTTACATGTTTGCAATTAGTGATATTATTAGTGAGCATCTATTTCTTTGGCTTTTATTATTATTATTATTGTTATTTTATTATTATTATTATTATTATTATTATTATTATTATTATTATTATTATTATTATTATTATTAATTATTACTAGTAGTAGTAGTGGTAATAATACTGAAAAGCAATAACCTTGAATGAAATCTGCTCATTAGTTTGATGATGTGCACAAATTAAAATGAATGCACTTGCAGCGATGATTCCAAAAGTGAATATAAGGATCCAACCAAGCAGAGTGTGCACAAATGTGGTAGTGAAAATGATACTGATACCGGCATTAGCAAATATCATCGTGAAAACACACCATAGCACGAGTTTTCCTGGTTTCAAAATGTTAAACCAGCGATATCCTGGTATCCAGAATTTTATCCGACCTCCTAGAATTAAGACCAGTTTTTATTTTTATTCTGTATTTCCTCATCATTGATATATATATATATATATGTACTCAAACTACTTTTTAAGCTCTCTTTTGTTGAAATGCCATGACTTTAGCGGACATTGTATATGATAAAATTTAGTGGTTTTAAAAGATATAAGAAATAAAAGTACATGTATTAGCACAATGAAAATTAAAATTTAAAACAGTTCCTAAACTCTAAAATATGTTCGATGATCCCTTCGCAAAATTGTGTTTGACCTCACATATTTCTAACTCGTATATTATACCTCAAAGCCTTTTTGTAGAAGAAAAGTTCTTCATACATTAAATTACCTCCCTTGTTTTTTTGTATGCATTAACATGTAATATTATTAATGTATGATGACCTTAGCAATGAATTTATCATGATCACTCCCACTTTAACACTATATACGTATTATATAGCATGGATCAACTTATTCAAAGGAATTCCATTATTCTTGCTTCTTTATTGTATTGTTGTTTCTGTTAATAAAGGAATTATTATATTCCTGTACTCCATTCGCATTATCAACATTTACATCAAGAAGTCTTCCCCAAAAACTTCTTCAATGAGCAATTATTACCTATCCATAGTTTCAGGTGTAGTTGGTGAAATTTCTATTTGGAAAGATTGTTCCTTACATTAATGAATTCATACATTCATACCATTTCCTTCAATAATATTATCTTCTTCATTCAGAGCTGGACGATATCGAAGAACAATGACACAGGCAGAAACAATCGTATAAGCTAGAAGAGTACCAATCGAAAGAAACTCCACTAAAGTCTCAATATCAAATAGAAATGCTATTATCGAAGTAATAGCACTGAAAACAATTACTGCTTTCAATGGTACCTGTAACAGACACTCTATTTTCTTTCAGTCTTATGAAAATGTTTTGCTTAAAGACTTCTTTAAACATTAATGAAGCAAAAACATTTGTTAACAAATTTTAAATTATTTTATTTTACATTTGAAAAAAAAAGTGACATATTAAATTATTTCATAGGTTTACCTGAGTTTTATCATTAACTTGTCCAAAAATCTTGAATATTAGTCCGTCTTCGGCCATTGCATAAACGCATCGCGGGAGGGCAAACATAGAGCCAATCTTAATCATTTGAATTTATTAATTAGTGAACAATCTATTGAACATTTTTGAGTAGAAGAGATGAAGTAAAATGGAAAAAGACCTGAACCATATCAAATTGTTTTCCAGCAAATGACAGTTGACATTGTCATTGAATTTAGAGAAGTGTCGAAAATATGTTTATAGACTAACCAAACTTGTAGTCATGCCTGACATAGCTCCAACAGAGACAATATATTTTGCCCAAGTTGCACCGCGACTTGCAAATGCATCCGAAAATGCTGCTGTAGGATTTACCTATGAAATAAGTTCCCTAGTGAAACATAATTTAAATGATACAGGAAGAATTCGTCAGTTTCTACTTCCTACTTTAAAATATTTATTTGTTTTCAAATTTATTAAACTTAAAAAAAATTGAAAAGAACTGTGCTAATCACCTCCCAAAACGGAACCATTAAAGTTAATGCTGAAGCCATCAGAATATAAGCCACTGTTACGATAGACATCGATATAAATGTCGCTAAAGGTATTGTTCGAGCTGGGTCTAAATTATAGGTCATACATTAAAAAGCTTTTTAATTTTTTAAATTGAAAATTTCATTAACATGAGACATTAGTGGACAAATGAAAATGAAAAGTAACAATACTCATTTGCGCCTGTTTCATTTATGTGAGAATCTTCTTGCAGTGAATGATATATTAATAAAATAGCTTTTCTTGACTTTACCGGAAGCTTCTTCACCAGCAGTTGCTAAACCATCAAAGCCAATATAAGCAAAAAAACAACTTGCAGCTCCAGCAAAGGTACCACCAATACCGTATGGAAAGAAGGAGGATTTTGCAGAGTCAACTTTATAAACAGACCAAAGTGTAAAGTCTGCGAATGTAAATCCATAACAAACCACAAATGCAATAACCTGCAGAAATTTAACATGTCAGAATAATAGTAAAGATTTGAATTGTTGAAATTATCAAGGAAATTACCAGCATGTTGATTATTGTGAATAAAGAATTGAAATTAGTGGATGTTTTCGAGCCAAGACCAGTAAATACTGCAACTGCTACAACTGCCAAAAATGCGATCAGATCTGGAGAGTCAGCGAAAAATGACTCCTAAAAAAATTGTTTATAATATCGCTTAGCTTACCACCCAAATGTAATACAAGTAATGCAAAAGTAATGCTGCTATCACTGAATCTTCAATTGTTTGGATTTGCAAATTTTCGATTACAATAATCAAACAAACATCAAAATGTCCGATGGTAACAATGCTTGAATTTTTGAGAGAGCTGTCAACTAGAGATGTCAAATAACCAGACCATGATCGAGCCACTGCTGGAAAAGAAACACTTGGGTATAAACTCGAAAATAAACAAAACAATAACCGAAAGGGAAGCGCAATAGTGCTTAAAAGATTTCACCTGCAGCACCAAGCATGTGTTCAAGAATGATATTCCATCCAACAATAAATGCCCATAATTCACCAACACCGATGTACACATAAG